AATTATGCAATGACCGATCAAGTCTTTGCTTCGTCTCCTTTAGATCGATTCGTATGCATTACGAACTCCGTTATCAATAGCCCCTATGTTTTGGTAAGTAAAAGGGCATTCAATGAATTTTAATTATATCATACGAGCTATATTATCGGGTATCCACTGGCATCCACACTAAACGAGTATAGTATGATATATACTTTAGACCTAAATTCAGAATGAAGAATCATTCAAGAGCCGGCCCAAATAAGCATCCAAAGGATGAATCGCCTCAACGACTACTTGAAAAGTTTCCGTTATGTCCGCAATGCTCTTCAATTGGCGAATCAACAAAAAAATTATACCACTTCTATATCTTCTTGGATTGACTGACCGAGTGGTTCCAATAAAATATACACTGCCAATTTATTTTCGTATTGACAGAAATTATGTTGCGAAAAGATTTGGAACTAAACTCATCAATTAACATTATTTCCCACAGTATATTGCCTTGACGATGTTTCGTTTCAAGGAAAAACTAGCATGCCAGCTTTACCTAGTCAAGGAATAATTCTGTATCATTGATTTTCTCTATCTACACTAGCCCGACAGGTTTTCCTTGTAAACTCCGTAACTAAGAAAAATTGCTCGGCTAGATGCGGTTTTCTACGGCGGATTAAACAAGGATGGTAATTGAACTGAGTGTAGTGCGATTTGGTCTGAAATCAAACGAGTGATTGCAAAATTGCACGACCGCGTAGCAAGAGGTGCCTAACAGCAAAATGTTCTTATAAAATTCACACTTGAACTGACACACTTCCTACCAACATCACAGTTTTACTAAATTAAAAATACCTGACAAAGGAGCATTGGTTATCATAGAAATGCCTGATGAGTTATGTATGAGTTATGTATGTAGTAAATTTGCAATTAAAGATAGGGACGGTGATTTCAGAGATCGGTATATGATGGTAAAATCTGTGAGCAAATGGAAGACAACTTTGCGTCCTCGACTGACGCTTTCGACTGTTTTCCTTCTTTTTTTTTTAAATATTCTAAAAAGTTTCAAATTATGACCTCAAAAGATAATGAAAAAGATTAGATTTTGTTTTCGTAAAAGCTGCAATATCACTGCACCTTTTTAAGAAGAAAAATGTATTTTTATTGATACCCTGAAGCAACCTTTGGGCTGATTAAAGACGGCTAAATCAACTCGGTCACAGATCGAAAACTCTAATTGATTAAAGTCAGGGCACAGCTAATACAGAGATCGAACCATGAAACAACCTCCGGGCTTTCCAAAGTCATGAAGGGTACGGCTACCTCACGCGAATCGAACTAAAAATGGAAGCAATTTCAAACGATGTCCAAAAGAATGGGTAACTATTCAATTCTAACGTTATTGCCACCATGCAAGAGAACTGACCGAATAGTTATGTAATAACATTACCTTCAGAGTTTTATATACCCTGAGATAGCCTCCGGGCAAACTGATTATGTGAGTATAAATTTATATTTATATTTAATTTTACGGCTTAATATTAGAAAGCAACAAAAAGATGCCAACAAATGTCGCAAAAGCTCGCCACAAGTAGCTTCATTTCACCAGCCAATCGATCTCCAGTTGGCACATCAAGAACGAAGGCTTATGAAGTATCACATGAAGAATCGCTATAAAACCAACTTTGAACGGAAATTAAGGGAGGAAATAGATGCTACTCTTTCCAAATTACGGGAAATCTGATTCAGTACAAATAGGAAATTGGAAAACGTTTGAGAATATAAATCGATTTTTTTTACATCCGAAATTTATTTGTTTTGGGAGAGTATCCGATGATCACGTAAACGTCGGCAAAAACAAACAGGAAACTAATTTAAAATATAGTTTTGCAAATTGATAGTCAAAATATATTTCAAGTCAGTAGGAAAATGGAAATATATTTACCATCACGGGAACGTCTAAGAATTTTTTTAGTAGGAAAAAATAAGAATGAAAATCAAGAGAATGGGAAAGGTAAAAATGGGAAAATATAAAAGGTGGGTTTTAGCCAGTGAAAATGGGACAATGGTCTTAATTTGTCAAGGCTTGCCAAAAATAAATAAAGGTCTGAATGGTTCAAGTTACTTTGTCGATCAATTTAGTCTTCGAAATAAGACTAGAAATCCATTTTTTTAATTTTCCAATGGCTTTCTCAATTCTTGTGTGTTCAGCATTATCAACTTATTTCATTACTGGTCAGTTGAGTACACATCTTCATGGGTATAGGCCCAACTTTTTGTTCGTAAATCTACCCTATATTCTAAAGCGAAAACAAAAGCCTAGCGTTAAGAAGGCGTCAATAACTGTATAATTTGGTTCGAGACATGCAGAGCTGAAAATGATAATCTAAAGTGAAAAGAAAAGACAATACGAAGAAGTAGCCTGCTTCACAGCGGATTTTTGTCGGTTAAATCCGGATGTGAAGCAGGCTAAGAACAAGCTGCTTGAACAATTACTGAATTACCAAGCACAAATAGAAACAGGAAAATGTGTATGTTAGAAATTCAGTTAAAAACATAGGACGTATAGCACTTGCTCGCGGTCTGATAAAAGATGACTTACTCGTCCCCGATTGAACAAGGCAAAAGAGAGATTCTCTCATTTCAAAAAATGTTTGTCCCTCGATTTGAAATTATCTAAAAAAAATCTAAAGAAAGAAAACAAGGACGAACGAACGATCGAACGAACGCGATCCAACAATCAAACGATCAAACGAAAGATGGAACGAACGAACAAACGAAAGATGGAACAAAAAATCAAAAGAACGATCGAAAAAAAAAAAAGAAAAAATCGAACGAAGGCCACCGATCGATCGAACGAACGAACGAACACACGATCGATCAAAATCGAAAGAACGATCGAAAAAAAAAGAAGAAAAAATCGAACGAAGGGGACCGATCGATCGAACGAACGAACGAACACACGATCGATCAAACGATCGGAAAGAACGAACGATCAATCAAAAAATGCATTGGAAAAAATTGCCCATACATTTGGAATATTTGCTCTTTTCGGTCTTTTTCCTCTCTTTCCAAAACAAAAGGTTGTTCTTAAGTAAAGTTATATAGAACAAGTAAACTGCGTGACACAACATCCTAAATGGACCTTGTAAATCTTCTGTTCTTCGCGAACTACTGTAGTTAGCGTGTTTACGAGGCTACGAAACCTAAGAAACCATAAGAGGCGAATGTATAGGCCAACAGATAGTATGAGCTTATAAAATCAGCAAAAATACGGTTCTAAATTTTAACAAATTCCTATGAATTATATACCAAAATGTTCAGGAAAGCCCGGGGTTTTCAAATCCACTTCTGTTTTTTTGACAGGTTCTGTTTCATTTCAAGGAGAGACGATTTTCTAGCTTGACCCCGGTTATGTCATGAATTTTCTCTTGTAAAATACATCCAATAGCGTACATTCAACTCAAAAAGTACGGTGGTTTTTTTTCAATGGAATTCAATCTAAACCATATAATACAGTCCGTGAATAGTTGAATTAACTGAATCCACTTCTGTTTTTTTGCCTAGATAGTCATTATTTTGAGAAAAGATCCAAAAACCGTGTTTTAGAGACATAATTTGTATGGGCTCACATGAGGGGGCGTGAGCTTGAAATCGTAGCTAACCAAATGTTAACAGATTTTTTCTGAAAAAAACAAACGAACGAACAAAGGAAAACCATCTGAATTAACCCATCATAGATAACAAGTTTTAACACGTTTGGTACAGTCAGGTGATGCGTTATCGAGACCTTTGTTATGAAATATGTCTGGAGTTTGAGCTCTGCATGCCATCCGGCCATCCCGTGTGATGAAGGGGGACAACAACAAGCAGAAGTATAAGCGAAAAAAATATTATTTAAAATAACACTTTCAATCAGTTTCCTCAAAAAAAGATTGTTTTTCTTTAAGACCTCTTTGTTTTGGAAAATCGATAAAGCTAAGCAAGACCTTTTTAATGAAGCAGCCATAACAATGAGGTTTCAATAATTATCATAAACATTAAGGCAAACGGTTAAATGAAGATTTGAAAAAGAAAAATCCCAAGCCATTGAAACGACGCGGTCGATTATCGAAAGAGACGGATGAAAAAAAAAACAAAAAAAACAAAAAAAACGAGAGATATGAAAAAGAAAAAGGTTGATGTCTTTAGACAGCTATGAAAAAATCTTATACTCTATCATTATTTCACCACAGTTCTATCCATTCAATATTCAAATCTTCAAAGTTTAATGAAAACGAATAATTAGATATTTTAGGCTCTCGTTACCCTCTGATTTAATTCATGATATTGAATATTTTATCTTAATTTCTTACGCTTTTGCCTTGAACCTGACGTTCAAACTAAAGTGGGATGAATACATTATCTTTCTGATTGACAATGAATCCAGTAAAATGTTGCAGGACTCGCTTCAGATATTTTTTTCCTGATAGATATTCATAATAAACTATGCAAATATACCAAAAATTAGTTTTATAGTGTCAAGTTCTAATTTTGTACGGTGATTAAAAAGTTTTTTTTTGGAGAAAAAGCGCGCTTTTTGAAGCTCTCTGCTTGAAGCTCGTGAACTAGTTCAAACTTCATGCAATATGAATACATTATCTCTTTGATTGACGTTGAATCCAGCAAAATGTTGTAGGACTCACTTCAGATAAAACATTTTTATCTGATGGATTTTCGAAAAATAGTTTCATAGTAACAAGTTATACTTTCAACGATTGGAGAGTTTTTCAAATCTTACAGGACCCACTTCAGATAAATAAATAAGTGTGAAATGTGGTAGCGTGGCAACTAAATGGCTTCCAATATATGACAAACACTATCACTGCCGTAAATGATGTCACCGTAATTCATAAATTCTTGTAAATATTTTGACTATTTGAAAAAAAGTTTATTAAATGTTAACCAAAAAAAATTTGTATATCATTATTCATTTACATTTATTTTCGTTTTTCTTTCTTTCTTTTCTTTTTTGGTGTTTCTCCTTCTTCCTCAGATGGCCTTTCTGTCTTTACATTCACATCCGGAGGAATGAAAGACAAGCTCTTTTTCTCTTTCTCCTTCYCTTCTCTACTTTTCTCTTTCTTTGGTGAAAGTTTTTCAATCTTGACTCGGACTTTGTTCTCAGGCGACGTTTTTTCGGTTTTAATTTTCTTGCTTTTCGCAGGCGAGTGCTCTTCTTTACCACTTTTTTCTTGTTTGATTTTGATTTTTTCTTTCTCCTTTTTCTTTTTGTCCTTCCTCTCGGCTTCTTGTTTGCTTTTCACAGGCGAGTGCTCTTCTTTGTCACTTTTTTCTTGTTTGATTTTGATTTTTTCTTTCTCCTTTTTCTTTTTGTCCTTCCTCTCGGCTTCTTGTTTGTGGTGGCTAAATTCACGCCCAAGAAATTTTATTTTATTTTTGTAAGAAGTTATATGTTTTTTTGCATCGATTTTAACTTACGTTTTACCTAGTTCATTTTCTCGGCTCATTCGTTGATTATTACAAGTATTTTGCTCAGTTTTGAGTAAAATTTAGAAATAAAAACGCACGTCCCAAAGGAGAATTCGTCAAGTTCACAATTCGATTTCATAAAAATGATAAATTTTACGGTCTTTTAAATTGATAATATCGCTATGATTATATAAAATAATAAATTCGTTTAACCCATTGGCTGGGTGTTTTCTATTGCAATATCCACATTTATATTATTTTCGTAATTTATAGTTTACTTTTGTGTGTGTAGTGTGTGGAAATTAAATGAGCCCTTTATTAACCTTTAAGCCGTCATTTAAAGATTCTAACAGCAACCCTTACAAAGAGCCTTGCTGTTTTGACTGCCTTGCTCCCCCCTGTACTATACAGTACAGTGTTCCACCATTGACTGGATGGGATAGAGAATGACTTTACATACAGACAGTACTAATGTAACAAAATTGATGTACTTACATTTCAGAAGTTTTCTTCTTTTGATTAAATCCAAAAGCAGTTTTATGATCCTCTTGACTTTTGTTTGCATGTTTTTTCTTTGCTTTTTTAGTTTGTTGTAGAGAAGAAAATGGCTTTTCTAGTAACAAAGTCAATCAGTGCTTTAGTACACAACATATGAGTCCCAATACGATTACATTAGCTACCTTATTCCACTTTTAAAATTTTCGCGACACTTAATTTTCGCGATTTTTTGATTTAGGTGAAAACTAAGTCACTTCGCGCTTCCTAATTTTCGCTTGACTTTATTTCGATATTTTTCAAATCGCGAAATTCGCGAAAATTAAGTGACGCGAAAATTAAGTGGAATAAGGTATTARTAGTTAACATAATAGCCTGGGGATGGTGAGTAGACCCCCCTCCCCCCTCCCCATCAATAGTTTATTATGCAAGATAGATTAATTAGTTTAGGCTGCTTTCAGTCACAATAGACCTTTTCCGAATTCACTTCAGTGACCATCCTCTTCGGAGTGCTGCTTGACTCACTCCCACGCGACCAAGTTAGGCAAAAAAAACTTGACTTGACTGAGTTACGAGGACTGTTAACAGTCAAGCCAAACAATGAATGAGAGAGAGAAAAAAAGGACTCTGCAGAAATCGTTTTATTTTACTATGACAACTCCCCCCTCCCCCCAAAAATGACATGAGGTTTCAGACCAAAGGTACTTACCATAGCCAAACGGTTTCCATCTACATGTAATGTCTGGTGCTTGTACATGATGAGATGAATGATCAGACGGGGGAGGAGAATCTGGTGTAGGAATACTGACAGATTGTATCACACTCATGTTACCATCAAAGGTGTTAGCTGAGGACAAACAAACAAAATGTGTGTTTTTATAACAGTGAAATCATGTACTTGTCGGTAACAAAATAAGCAAGGGACCTCTTATGAGTATAAAAGATTTAGTTGAAGGCAGGCAGGTGGGTAGGCAGCCAGCCACTAATATTGATTAATGTCTTAGTAATTTATATACATAAGATCTCGGCCCCAACCCCACTTACCAGCCCATAAAGGTTCATCATGTGAATATGGTAATAATACTTTACATGAGCCAGGCTGCAAAATAAATCAAATATATATAATTTATGTTATTTACCAGCCAGGAGGTCTGCTTGAATCAATTTAATTTCACAGGCAAAAGCAAACTCCTCCCTCTCTCTAAGCCGTTGCTGTTATCCTTAAGTCATTGGGCTGTTCTACACAAGGTTATAAAGATACACACTGCCACATGATTGGCTCAGTTGATTGAGCATCAAACTTTCCTGCGGGAGGTTGTGGTTTGAGTCCTGGCCGGACCAACACTCAGGATCTTAAAATAACTGAGGAGAAAGTGCTGCAAATAATACTTCATCATAATTAACCAATATTAGAGGGATGTAAAGGAACCACTAACCACCCTCATTGCCTAGGTACATCTCATACTAACAACCTCTCATGTTTGTAAGTTGCACAAAAAAGCAATCTGGAATTCATAACTCGATATAAAACACCTTTAATTATCCATAATATAGAAACAGCGCTGTATAAGTCACAAATCATCATCATCATCATAATAAGCATGCACTACTCACCACTGAATTGCTAATGGGCTTGGATATTACTTCAAATCTTGCTTTAGTGTCCTATTAAAAAAGAGCAAAAATATAAAGTCAAAATAAACAAGTAACCTCAAAGATGAGAATATGTGGACCGYGTAGCACTTATGAAATACATGAAGATATAGAAATAATGATAAGTTATAGTGCTTGGGAACGAGGTTATTCCGGGCGAAAGCCCTTGGAATTAAATTCGGAAAAAYTAATTTCCGACCTCGCTGGGAATCGAACCCACGACCTTCGGAATTGTACTACTGATGCTCTACCAGCTGAGCTAGAGGTCAGACTGAGAGCAGGTCGGGGTGAAATAGACCGAAGGTCGTGGGTTCGATTCCCAGCGAGGTCGGAAATTAATTTTTCCGAATTTAATTCCAAGGGCTTTCGCCCGGAATAACCTCGTTCCCAAGCACTATAACTTATCATTATTTCTATATCTTCAAGTAACCTCAAAGTTTATGCCTAATGCAAGCTGTAGAAATGGAAATACAGTATTGGGCATTTAGAGTTTCAAAAATCCCCATACATTTTTTTCTTATTTTGCACTGGATCCAATCACATTAGAACAAACAATRAGAGAAAATGTATGGGGATATTTTCTTATTAAAGTAGCTAACAGAAATGCTTTAACATGTCCACTCACRATTTCCTTATACAGTCACCGCAGTGACTACACCCACATGCATGTAGTGCATGGGGCAACTTAATGCTTGCAGCAACAAGTATACATAATGTATTTTCTCATTGTTATACATTTATATTCTTATAAGTAATATTCCTTGTTATTAGTTAAGAATATGATTTTACGATTTTTCAGCTATTTTTCACTCTATCACTCTGAAATTCCACACTATCATATTTTACATACAGTACATGCATATACCATCTGATATATTGTCACGACAGCCCTGTAGATATTTAAAAATCAGTTTGTGACGTCATCACTATGGTTAACCTCTTATTGAGCTATCCACAGCATTGATAATTGTATATATGTGGTAACAAACTGTACCTTGAGCTTTAATTGGACGTCCTTACTTCCATCCAGCACAACAGTCTTCCCTGACAAACTGCTTGCATCAAACTAAAACGTATTAAATATTTTCTATTAAAAAGTCATTACATCTCTACTTAACTTTTAAAACAAACCTCTGAGCCAATCAAAGTCAGGGGATGGCTTACTCACAGATTGGACCCTTAAACAACCTTTGGGCTGATCTAAGTCAGGGCATGGCTAACTCACAGATTGGACCCTGAAACAACCTTTGGGCTGATCTAAGTCAGGGCATGGCTTACTCACAGATTGGACCCTTAAACAACCTTTGGGCTGATCTAAGTCAGGGGATGTCTAACTCACAGATTGGACCCTGAAACAACCTTTAGATTGATCAAAGTCAGACACAGCTAACTTACAGATCGAACCCTGAATTGACCCTTGAGCTGATCGAAGGCAAGGCATGGCTAAATCACAGATCAAACCCTGAGACAATCTCTGGGTTGATCTAAGTCAGAGCATGCTGACTCACAAGTGAATCAGAATTTAGAGTGTTTGGTTTTGTCCCAGGGGGTACTCCCTTACATTCCCTATACGGGTACATGCCGACAAACAGGGTATGGTTTTAAGGGATTCTACATGTTTTCTGGACCAGGGTATATGGTATAAAATCATGCTTGCTCTCTGGAACAGGGTATATGAAATCACACTTTCTCTCCAAGTCCCGAAGGGGTGGAGGGGGGGAGGGGTTCTAGTGCTTATGACAAAAGCTGTTACAATAACTTGTTTCCTAAACTGCAAACAAAAATATATATAAATAATCAGCACTTCAGAGGGTTTATTGGAAAATATCAATTATAAGTGCATTCTGTAGTTCATAGTCTCCGGTTCACGTAGGGAACACTTAGTAAAATATACGTGTAGTTTACAGCCGCCATGTTGGTTGATCTACAAGAGAAGCTGATAAGGAAAGCTTTGTAATCGTCAACCAAGATGGCTCGGATATGAAGTAATATGCCGCCCAAGAATTCAAAGTATGCAGATATCAGCCTTACCTCAGCAGGTACTTTAATCAACCACATTTCTTTGTGTTTTCCAAGTTTCGCAGAAGGGCATTCACTATTTTCATCAAGTGACGGCACTGGTTCAAACCCCAAGGGAACTGGTTCAAACCCCAAGGGAACATACCTAAAAAAATACCCAAATAAACACAACAATTCAAAATACACTAAAGTATCAATCCTTAGATGACTAATAAACAATATAGCAGTATTTTTTCGTCTTCTTACGGTTCTCTGGAGGTATTTTCTGGTGTTTTTGGTGACCGTTTTCCTAATCCAGCCATCTTGAAAACTTTGAAAACAAAGCTTCCACGTGAGTAAATGAGCCTGCGGTACACACGAATCAGCTGATTATTTCAAAACTAATCAACTTTAAAAGATTTTTTAATCCTAAGGAAGGAAAATTAACATATAGATTATCTATTTAAATCTTTCATATTTCCATTTTATGAATCCGGAGTGCAATAACCTTGAAAATTTGAAATTAAAAAATATATATATATATAAAGAAAAGTAAATTTGGAATTGGGCTGCCTGTGTAAATTGTGGTCAGCGGTGAAGCATTAAAATACAAAATGGCAACCTCCAGTGGAAGTTTTGCGCTGGAGATTTTATTAGTATTGTTGACAGCAAGCTATGTCGTATTTTGCCCTTTTACTAAAGTGGAAGAAAGCTTCAACCTTCAAGCTACTCATGACATTCTTTATCATGGATTTGATATCAAAAAGGTAATAAAAATTCTTCATAAAATGGTTGGGTCAAATAACGATCCTTTATTGTACTATATACGTCGATCTGGTGGGATATATCAAGCATTTGATGTTCTTTAAATTCAGGGGCGGATCCAGTGGTGGTAAAAGGGGTGACTATAGTGACAAATGTCTGGTCACACCCTTCTAAAATACCTGGATCCGTCCCTGATATTGTATAATATCCTACATATGATGTACTTAATGCTGCTTGGATTCATCTGGGGTTTCTGGGACAGATCATCTTCTATCCACAGCTAGCCCAAAAGTTTGGTATAGAGTTTTTGCACCATCACGTTATGGCAGCCATGACAGGAACTATAGACTTGCCCCAAGTCGACCTCTCTTGTTTTCTCGGCGTTTTTTTAATTCGAGCGAAGCGAGAATCTTGCGAGCGACGAAGTCGCGAGAGGTCGACTTGTCGAACTTGCAGGATATTCATTTGCGTTTCCCGCCATTTCCGAATTTGATACGGGACGGTCGGCCTTCGGGGGCGGAGCTAAAGAATTGTGGTTTTCATTTATTTGTTTCTTCATGTTATATCCGGAGCAGCAAAACATGTTTTATCAATAATAATGGTTGATGCTATAACTCCAACTAAAACTGTTGAAAGGATAGCGATATCTCCTGCGTCCAAACAAAAAATATGCTTTCTTTGCGCCAGTCAAGTTCCGAACAATGACTATAGACGGAAATTGTTTAGTCGTCTCCAACATAGGAAGCAGAGATCCCCTTTGATTATAAAGACGTTACTTGGTCTTTCATTAAAGAGACCAAGGGGACAACAACAACAACAACAACGACAACAACAACAACAACAACAGTCTCGATTAAGTTTTTCTCACCGAACCTCATAAAATCTAAGGCGAATGGAGCGATCTCAAATGTCAGGCTTTTTCCCGCTCCTGTAGGTGCAGATATCTCTGCCTGAAAGATACGCTTCTATACTTTGTTTCTGGTATTCTCTTATAGTTTYGTATCCTAATTTACTTTTACCCTATGATATGGCCTCAGATATTGATCTCATGTTGTCAGACAGATGTTGTGTTGACAGATGCCGATGGGAATCGTAGAGATAATCTTACTAATCTTACATTGTGATTGACAGCTTGGAYTTCGAGCATTGTGATTGGCTATAATTTACCGACTGATTTTTGGGTCGGTAAATTTGGCGGGAAGCAAGGTCGAAAAGTCCGTCGTGCGCCCAGTAAAAWAAAACAAAGCGGGCGGCGGACTTTGCGAAAGTCTACAGGAACTATTGAATCTGGTCTAACACAGGAAAAGAAACCCTGATTCCCAAATTGGGAATTGTTGGGAATTTCCTTGAATTCTCAATTCAAACTCACTAACATGTGATGGTGGCAAGCCTCTATTGACCGATATTTTCTCATAGGATTGAATGAAATTTCACTTTTTTTCACTATTGAATCATTAGTGTTCCATTCCATCTATTTATACATCCAGCTAAACATGCATGTATTCATTCCTGTCATTCTTTATCTATCCCATTTCATATAGTTATCTGCCCACTCATTCATCCATTCCTTTGCTATCCCATTTCTTTCCATCCATTAACCAATCACTTCCTTTCCCAAACCACTTCTCATTCATCCATTCATCAATAAAAAGGACAAAAGGACAGGAGAGAATAAATAGAATTATTCTTTTCTATCCAAATAAAGGTATCTTATTTCATTCATCTACCCACTTATCCAATTACTCCTGAGCTATCTTATCCTATCCCATTTCATCTATTTGTTCATTCATTCATTTTCTACATATATTCTGCYCATTTATCTCTTATACCTATCCTTCCATTGATTCATTTATTTGTTACCAATAATACATTTTGWTTATATTTTTTTAGTATGATCATTTGGAGTTTCCAGGAGTAGTTCCAAGATCATTTATTGGACCTCTATTTCTATCTATTCTCTCTTTTCCCTTSGTTACAATATTGAAAGTGATAGGAGTGGCAAAGATATACTCCCAGTATGTAGGTAAGTGGGACTGYAGATCAGGATGACCATCAGGAGGACAGACAATTAACCTTATGTACTAACTACAGTACCTTGAGAAAGGTTGCAGGCCTGTCACTAGGGGTGGTTGGATGGTTTGAACAAACATTCCTATAACCTTTGAAGGAGTACGAAACAATGTTTAGCGCTATTTTAGTTTTTCAAAAAATTCCATTACTAAGATTACATGTACTAAGATTGGTAGAAAAATGAACCTCCCAGTATAGTCTTTCAAGGTCCTAGTGATGGGCTACTTTGATTCCTTATCAAAGTGATATATCAGCACATAAGTGTTTGATGCAAATAATGGCCTATTGCATATTACATCATCACAGCCATGTTGATCCAGAGATTGTTTTGTTTTGTTCCATTGTGTTTTCCATCCAGCACCCAGCAACATTCCATTGGTATACTACAAGCTGTGGTTATGGTGAATATTTCTATGATTATTTTGGKTAATGTGAGGAGGTCTCATTCACTAGTACAACCTTATGGTTGAACCACATCAATAATAGACAGTGATATTATACAGCACACATAACCAGCTATGCTTCTTTTACTGTGTAACTAGCAATTATTCRCTGAAGGCAAAGTGAATATCGGGGAATATTTACCGAGACTCGAGTCTTCGAGCRGCGAGGTAAATATTCTCCATATTCACTGAGCCTGAGGCRAATAATTGTTTTAGCAYATRCCTTTAGTTTGCRTGACAAATTCACGCAAAACTTTTAGCAAAACTTTTAGGCCATACKTYGTTGCCTTTYTAGTAYTGATARGRATGGCAWTTACTTTCATWTTTTCAATYTCCTCATCGGAAATTGTAGCAAAAMGATTGCYGGCAGATACCATTTTGTTGCCGACTCAATATTCCGAGATTCAGAGGTGAATATCGTACAATATTCACCTCCAATTAACCAATGAGYRCGYGCGTTCTTAGGAAGTACACAAGTTGGTATATGCTAATTCCTTGTATCATGACCCTTTAATTGCATTTTTAGTTAGAATTGCCCTTGGTCTGTGCACAATCTTTGCATTCATCCTGTACAAGAGAGCAGTGTCTAAGAAACTTGGATCCAATGTTGGTACCCTCCTGACGTTGTTGACGATGAATCAGTTTCATTTTCTATTTTACTCGTCCAGACCACTCCCAAATACATTTGCACTTTGCCTTGGTAAGTCGTTATAGCACTGCACTAAAAGGAACATGGCTTGTATRGCATATGAATTTGGTTGCATTGAAACACAGACTTTAGCTTTGCAGGAAATCATTGGTTGGCATGATCATAATAGACCTCAAGCATGATAATTTTTTATACCTACGCTAATTCCAGAATCTTTTTTTTTTTTTTTGTCATGCTAATTTTAACTATTGTCTTGATATTCTCAAGGGAGTTTGAACATTTGAATATGAAAAATGATATTTTGAAAAGGATTGTGGTGGTTTGTGGTGGTTTAGGTACAGTATGAAACGTCATTAGGGGTAAGATCTATTGGTCTGGAACTCACAGTCTACCAYGCAAGACCAATGCCAAACTGAATAAACTACACTGAGGATGGTTATACCTAATAATTTCAAGTTTAATTCTTTTATTCCAGTTCTTTTATCAGCAACCCATTGGTTGCTTAAGAAGCATGCTCTTTTTATTTGGACGTCAGCATTTGTAATCACAGTTTTTAGAACAGAGTTATGCATACTGCTTGGTTTGATGCTGTTGATTGAACTTGGAAGCAGGAGATTATCTTTAGGAAAAGCCTTTATTCACTCTGCTTTGGCTGGAATAGTAGCACTAGGTGAGAGAAATGGTTAATCAATCCACATCCATCTCATTTTCCATCTATTTTCTCCATGAATGCATTGATCCAGGCTGGTACATTGAATCCCATTGATCTATGCTATCACCCTTACATTCATCCATCCATCCATTCTCCATTGATCCATCTGTCTACCAACTCCTCCTTCCATCCATCCATCCATTCCTTCTTTGCTCTATCCATCCCTCCTTCCTTCCATTCATTCATTCATCCATCTATCTATCCACTCCTCATTTCATCCATTCATTCATCCATCCCTCCATCCTTCCATCTACATGTATTCCTTCTTTCCTTCATCCATTTGTCCACCCATTTGTATCATTCACATTTAGATATTCATTTTTCATTTAACTAAAATGAAATTTTAAACTCTGGAACCTCACATACAGGTTTGACAGTAGGTATTGACTCAGTATTTTGGCAGAGATACCTGTGGCCTGAAGGAGAAGTGTTCTACTTCAATGCCGTGCTCAACAAGAGCTCACAGTGGGGAGTATCCTTTGAATTGTTATAATTATCTTAATATAATGATACCTACTTGAGTTATTATAATGACAAAGGCTGGAGCAATACAGACTGTATGTTATCTAATCTGATCGAGGTGCATTCTTATTCCCAATGTAGGGACAGCAGAGCATAGTTTTAAGCAGGGGGCTAATAATCTGGGGAACCCTGAAAATTTTGAAATTTTCTCAGAATTGTGATTTCTAGTGTCTTTGTTTGAGGGGGTTACAACATACAGTCCTTTGACTAAATGTTGTCGTTTGATTGGCTTCATCCCTAYGCRACTAGACCGAAAAGGATCATGGGGATAATTAATTYACAGTTACTAGCTGCCGCATATGTTATATAACACGTCTTGAGCTCSCTTCTTTTGATCCCATTTAATTTGCTAAAACCCTGCCCCAAGCATACGGCAAAGATTTAAGCTGGYGAGCAGTTTGGATGACGCAAGTTCTGGGTAATTTACCCATTACCCTTTTCGGGCTAGGCGMGTAGGGATGATCCGATCAATGACAACGTTTAGTCAAAGGACTGTATGTATTGCATTAACATTGTGTCTAAGTTTTAGGCAGCTCATTAGAAAATTATTTTTGGTTAAAAACTCCCAGCTGCAATATATTATTATTCCAATCTGACTCAGTTCTATCTGATTACCATACGTTTTTYAATCTAATTCATGTTGATTTTTTCCTGCAAAACAAAACAAATTCTATACGCCTGATACCTTTCTTAACCCGTATGTCACAGACAGAACCATTTCTGTGGTACTTKTACTCTGCTCTACCCAGAGCTCTACTCTTTGGCCTGCCTCTTATCCCTGTTGGTCTGTGGTATGAAAGAAGGAYGTGGAGCCTTGCTTGGCCATCCCTTGTGTTTGTTTTCATGTTCTCATTTCTACCTCACAAGGAACTTCGATTCATTATATATGTGTTCCCTATCTTCAATACTGTAGCAGCTTGTGGGCTCAATTATATGTAAGTCTTAGGTATTTTTGTGATTGGAAGATTATTACAGTGTTGTAATTTAAGTTTTTCAAGCTATTTTTTTCTTGGAAAGAAAAATCCAAGCAATTTAATGTAGCAATGCCTAATGGGAAGGYAGAGAGGAATATCTTCAAAAATACRAAGGCTTTCCTGCATTCTGATTGGCTCTATTTTCAGTGGTGTGAGGTAGTACATTTTTTAAATGCAATATTTGCATCCTTCTTTAGAACATTTGCATTGTCTTTTTAGTAGAGGACCTAGTGTCCTATTGGATTCTTTACCTGCCTTTGGACAAATCTTTAAATCAATCAATCAATCAATCATTTAATAGTCATAATTTATATACACAGATATCAACACTACCACAAGTGGAGAAGCTGGTTATCAGCCATTRTTGTCCCTGGCACAATTGCTGGTCTGCTGTGCAGTTTTGCAGCAACTGATTTGCTTGCATACGTGTCTTACCACAACTACCCAGGGGGYGTGGCTCTAACCCGGTTGCATCAAATACTGCAAGACAAACCAGGTCAGTTGATACGATGGACCTTTTTAGCTTGGGTGTAATTTATTTCCCTTAAAGACCATGTGTCATTCCCTAAAGAGTATAACTTCTTTGTTTAACGGTTGGGGTGCACATTGGAGACATGTGGATATGCATAYGTCAACTCAATGTTTTCCCATTACAGGTCATGTGAATAAGATTCTTTGCTGAGTTGTATCCATATCTGTCTCCACTCATGCACAATCGTTAAACAAAGAAATGATACTCAAGAGAATGACTTGTGGTTTGCAATGAAATTTCCCACTCATATGACAACCATTTAAATGGGAAGCCATTTAATGTTACAGCTGTAAGTCAGTAACCTACGCAACAACCACTCTAGTTCTTCAATAGTTAACCATTAGGTTATTGTAGGTAGCTTGTACCTAATTTTTTAATCTACATATTTATAACTTGTAAATATTATCAAATAGAGGTACTAAATAATAATGTATGTGTGTATGTATTAGAATTTGCCATGGTGTTTCCCACTCATTCATATGATAACTGTAATGAATACTAAATAAATAATAAATGGGATTTAACAGTGGCATTTCGACAGAGTAGCTATTCATCCACTGTAATTCCAATTGGAATTTAGGAGTTGATATGTGCAGAGGGAGGAAAGCCGGGGGAACAGCGAAAACCCTTGAAGCACAGGAGAGAACAAACAAACAACTCTACTCACTTACAACACCGAGCTCAACGGGACTCGAACCCGGGTCACATTGGTGAGAGGCGAGCACTCCCACCGCTACGCCACCTGTGCTTCCCAATAACTGTTGTATGATAATCAGTTTTTTTAATTTGTAGGAACCATTCATGTGCATATTTGTGTTGCTGCTGCCGAAACAGGGATCTCCAGGTTTGGCGAATCCAATGTGCCATCGATCAGGTATTAGTCTTTTGTCATACTCAACGTACAAATCACAAACTTTTTAGCCTCTCCTTATCAAAAACAGCACAAGATGGAACTTAGGTAGGGTAGGGTCATAACAAACTTATAAAAAAAAAGCTTGTCATCGCTTAGCAGTGTAATCATAAGTGTAATTATTATAAATTACATTAAAATTTCATGGTGTGATGTTCAAATGTGCAGCATATTAGTTTGTCTATAGTCAATATTAGACATAGATTCCATTACTAAAAGCAAGGCACTGAGGGTGATCACTGCCAGGGTTTTTTTCCCCTCACTGGTTCTTTTACGTCACTCAAATGCAGGGTAAATTAGTGTRGAGAAACCAGGACTGCCATTTTACATGACCCATGCATTCAGCATTGTAAAGTACAGTACTAAACCATCAATTTGTAAATGTTTTTACAATGGCGGCCTCTTCTTCTTAGTTATTTGTATGACCCTGAGTGCTGGTCTGACCAGGGATTGAACCCTGCATGATCTCCTGCTYGAAATACTRATGCTCAACCAACTGAGCCAAATTCAACCAGGTTGTTAAACTGAGTATCATTCATACTAAACCTCTTTCTTGTCTGTCAGGTATTCAAAAGCTGAGGGATTAAAGAAAGGAAGTCCAGAGATGCATCAGTTCACCCACCTCATAACAGAAGCACCATGTACCGGCGATGTTTATGAAAATACCCACACAGTATTGGAYGAAATAAAAGGCTTTACAAAGGTGGTTATCAACCTCAAGAACTTTCCTTTTATTATCAGGATTCAAATGGATACGAAGCTCTGTATTCTACAGAGAAATGAATAATGATCTTGCAAAATACTGATCTGATATACGTGTAGTATGCAGTATCAATAAATTTTATAAAAAAATTAGAATAGTAAAAAACGAAATAGGAGACAATCAATAAATAATAAAGTGATATTAATCCAATGTTTATCAGTACTAAGATCCTCTATTTAAATACATGATCCATAATTCATTGATAAATTATTAGATTACCTCAAAAATGGAATACTTTCAGGATATACAGTAAGAAAATAACATAGTGAGTTCACTGTACAGTTTGCCCAAAATAAAAATATTCATTGCCAAAGTTGGCAAAGTACCTTACTAGTCTTAATAGTTGGTATACATCCTTGCACAAACTTGGTGGAGGTCAATGATTCATCATTCACCCCAAGAACCAACTCTATGAAGTTCTGAAAAATAAATGCTACGAAGTACTTGAAGATATAGAAATATAGATAAGTTATAGTGCTTGGGAACGAGGTTATTCCGGATGAAAGCCCTTGGAATTAAATTCGGAAAAATTAATTTCCGACCTCGCTGGGAATTGAACCATGAAGTACTGTGTGGTGCCCTTGACCAACCCTCTGAAATTCCAGCCCATAGGCCTTTTTTTTGAGTTTGTCAAATATGCAYTCTGGTCTAGCTTGGGTATGAACACAAGGCATTATAAACAAAATACAGTATGTTTGTACCCRAGCTGGACCACAATGCACCATGTTCACTATCTCAGTCCAGGATGGTATGTATACATTATGGMTCAACATATTCTGTATGCAGCATCTCCAAAGGGTTTGATGTACTTTCCATTTTATGCAGTTATCATTTATAGGTTTAATCAGATAATTACATAAGAACAGTAACATTGATAATATTTTGTACATTATTCTAGC